TTGAAAAGTCACAATGTTCTCTGGTTTTGTAAGAGCTGTTTTGTCATTCAGTACAATGACCTTTGCAGTTCCATCCACCATACGGCGTGAGCTAATACATTTTTAAAACTCAACGGACTAACATAACAAAAGCGGCATTATTACAAGGATATAACGACTAAAATGGTGTGCTTATGAAATAGTAAAAATATCCTTTTCAGTTGCTAATTGGTACGAAACGTTTTCCTGGTAACACTGCGGGTTAATTACGGCCGTATCAAAATTAAGGTTGATACAGCAAAAATTGGATTTTTAAATATCAGCCACGCCCTATTTATATTTTGTAGTACTTTATTAACATAAAAATAAATAAAAGTATTTAAAAATAGTTTTAATTTTGTTGTATTTTGATAGTTAATGTTTTTGTCAGCAACCACTTTGTTGTTAAGATCTTTTGTGTGACATCATATTTTTTTATTACCAAAGAATAAGTTTATTCACTATTTCTAAATTACACTTGTTAAAATTAAATCTAGCTAATTGAACATAATTAAAGTAGTTTTAATTTTGTTGTGTTTTCATAATTTACGTTTTTGCTCAGCAACAAAGTTATGTTAAGATCTGTCGTGTGACATCATATTTTTTTATTACCAAAGAATCAAAGAATAACTTTATTCACTATTTACAGTTCTAAATTACACTTGTTAAAATTAAATAATAAATATTTATGTATAAAAGGCTGACACGTGTTTTGTTTCTATTTTTTTTTAACTATGGTCATAGAATTGACTGTTTTGTAGTGGTTATTACACATGACGTATTATCGACCTGTGTTCGATTCCCTACGAAGCATAATTGTTTCATATTGGTAGACATAGAATTCCCTACTCCAAAGGTATCATAGCATGGAATCGGAGGAAATGATAGGCAGGAATAAAAAAAATGTAATTCAAAAAAAATTCAAAAATCATTTAATCATATAGGTAACACAATGTACACTTAAAAAATTAATAATAATAACATAAATTAAAAACAAAGACTTGTCCTCTATCAGCAGGAGGCATGGTGAAATAGGAGCACGCACTTGCATTCTCGTGGGAACAACACGCAAACACATAGTCGAAATAACTAATTATTTAAGCTAAGACATTTATGCGAGCATGACAATCCTTGAAATGTGAACTTGGCTACATAAGAAGATAATAATACTACTAATACTGAAATAATTTGATATCACATGGGTCACGGTTTGTTCCCACTGTACATTAAAACAGTCGTGGATGTTGACGATCGCCTTAGAGTCTGGAAATGCAGCCGAGAGATTCAAAAATGTAATTTCATGTATAAGGTATACATGAATTTACATTACATTACATTATTATTATACTGTATGTATATATATATGTAGAAACTCACTCACGCCATATTGAAAAAATAGAAAATAACGCGAAAACCAGCAACATTCTCCACGTATGTTACGTTAGTTAGTAGTTTTGGAGGCTGCATTTTGATGTTGGAAAACCTCCTTCAAGTCCACTATAGAATTACACATCTAAGGTTTAAAGAAATTTATTCTCATTAAAAACAAAAACATACTTGTCATGAGATTTTTTTTTATTAAAAACATAAAAAAAGTAAAATATATGACACCACCGTCGTACGCAGTTATTGCATTAGAGTCCATCAACCAAAAAACTATGTATTATTCGAAACTGGTCCTCTGCTACTATTTCCCGTAACTCAGGAGACAAGATTTAAAGACTCGCCCCGAAATAGGTTATATTTTTGCGACCGTATTCAGTTCTGATTTTAGGTAGATGTATATATGCCGGCTACGTATGGTTTAATTTTAATGCTGGTGTGTATTTGGTTATGTTTTTTAAACTAAAATGCATGTTGTGTATTTAAACAGGTGCTTAATGCTCATAGTTTGTTAGTGATAGTAAGAGTAGGATAAAAAGAACTCTTTATTGCAAGACATCTCGGTTCTCTTGCTACTTATGCGCCTGCGTACATTGCGTATTTGAGGTAACAATTTTTGAATTAATAGAGACAGAACATTATACGAACTAGGTAATTACAGAAAGATCAAAGAAATATCTGCTTAATATAGTTTAATGAACAGCTTTATTAAAATAATCTATATCTATGTATTTATTCAAGAAGGAAATAATAGATACATTAGAATCACAGGATAGTTAAAAAAATTAAACACATTATTATTAAAGTAAGAGTAGAACACTATTAAAGATGAAGAGAAATAAACTAATAATAGGTACCAACACATGACAATATAAACACAGCTAATAAAACAATACTTACCAATAAAGCAATCAATTAGACCATTTGTCCAAAATCACAAATCTAAAACTATGAAAACATACGATACATCAACGCCTCGCAAACTTTTAATCTTCTCTTGTTTGGTTTAGCAAAACAATACCGAAACTCGCCACAGGAAATTGGCTGACAAACTCTTTTATTTTGTGTAAATAAGTACGTGTTTCCTGTGGGCGTGATGTTAGATTGACAAGGGTATATGGGTCACACAATTGATTTTTATTATGCCCCTTTGTGTTAGGAAATTATTGTGGCTTGAGAATAATAGAAGAATTTATATAAAGTTACGCATCTTTCTATAATAGAAGTTGTGTCTGAATATATATTCAGTGACAATGAAGAAACAAGAATAAGAGGAAATATTATTCTGTAACTTCTACTAAACCGAAACACTTGGTATTGGCCAAGAATCGAATCTAGAACGATTTATAGGTGCTAGTAACTTAAAAATCGTTTATTGAAGCCGGAACAACCATATCACGTTATGCACAATCAAGTATTCAGAGAGAATTTTAATAAAACAATATTGTCAGTTGAATGCTACGTAACGGTTTCGTAGCAAACCGTAGCCCGTAGTCGTAGAGTGATGTAGTCATAGCTACAAGCAATCTTTTGGCAAATTACATAAATTGGAATGAAGTAGATGGGAACTTAAAAAAAGTTATTTTTTTTCCTTATAAACGTTTTACAGGACTAAGAATATTGTTTCATACATAAATTATTTAATTAAACAATATCCTTACAGACTATGCCAACACGATAATGTCGAGAAAAAATGTAATAAAGTATATAATATGAAACACATAATATACACAATATCGCTACTGTGAATTCACTCTGCGAACATATAAATATGTCGATAGTGTCGGAGACAGCATTCAGTAGGCGCAACGTCTTTGATAACGGAGATCGGTGCAACAGACTGGTATCGTAAACAACCTTCGCCTTTACCAACATTATAAATGACCCAATACAAATATTTAATAGCAAATCAATTTATTAATACAAAATGACAAAATTCAAAACATTGAAGCCTTTCAAATATTACATAACAACAGAAATTACTTACCCAACATTTAATTACAATTGTACTTCAACTTAATTAAATTATGAATCGTTGCGTCACTAATACAGTTAAAATGTCGTTGGCCAAACACTTCTTCATCAAATTACTTTGCAGCCAATTAAAATGGCTTCATCATGTAACAGTCAATCAAGTAATAAAATCATACAACCAGAAAAGTATTTATTTACTATTAGAGGCGATATAGTTTTGTGTCGGCAAATAATTAAATAAACTTCAATTAAACCGAAATTTCGTCGTAAAATTTAGATATTTTAATGACATTTTAGTTAAACTTTGACGCGTCATGTAAAGAAAGCTATTTTTGATGAACACATCAGTAATTATTCATTGCCATATAAAATTATTTATTTCTGTAGAATTAAATACAATTATAATAATTTTCTCCCTACATTGAACTCTTATGATCTCCATTTTATCTTATCCAGCCTAACAGACATAAACCAGATATAAACACAGAAACCAATTGACACACATCGGCCGTCTGTTGTTTATGCCCGCGCGTGGCTGCCCGTGAAATTGAATATGTCCACTGGATTTACGCGCGAATAATACTGTACACAACGGCTTAGCCAGGGATATGTGTTACTGGAATCGACACGTTTGGTTTACTAATATATTTCACAATTGTACTTATGAGGTTTAATGGAATGAAATACGTATGCAATACGGTTAAAAAACATACATATAATCGTTACGCACTAGTTTGACTTTTTTTTAGAAAATAAAATTATAATCTGCGCAGTTTAACTAAAGCTTCTAGATAAGTAAAAGTTAATTTTCGTGAAATGTAAAAATGAACATTTACTTTTTTCTTTTAAATTAAATGAAGCAACAAAAACCAAAAAAAATATAGTAATTTAATTACACCATGATCAAGAAAACAGAGTACCAATTCTTAAATGGCCGCAAGGCACTCGCGAGCCCTCTGGTATTGAGAGTGTCCATGGGCGGCGGTATCACTTATCATCAGGTGAGCCTCCTACCCGTTTGCTCCCTGTTCTATAAAAAAAAGCAACTAAGTACTTTTTTAGAAGTATGTATAATCTTGTAAATAGCAACATATACTTTACAATCATAAATCGAGGTTACTTCACAGTAACTCGAAAATTAAGTATGGCAACTTTTTAAATATTTCTTACAGATTTGTCTGCCAGCTTAACTGCGCTTAATTTTCGTAAAATATGAAATCGCGCGTTAAAGGACGATATTTCTTAATGGTTAGATGTCATTTTCCTTAACATTTGTGAAAATGTGAAAATTTGTCTTTCGTAGCCGGCGTCTACAAAAGACAAATTTTCACGTTTCGAATGCTAATAGGTAAAGATCTTATCGTTAGGTACTTTGAGTTTTGTTTTAAACAAACATTATTTACTTATTGATTTTGTTCATTTTTGAAATTAACTTGTGTCTTAAAAATAATATAAGGGCTAATTAACATCATCCTGATTTGCTATAGCTGATAAGAAATTGCAGGTAGCACAGGACGGAGCGCTGAAAGTTGCGTGTGATGAGGCCATGATACTTTATGGGTCGTAGAGCCAGCGGATTAATTGACGTGATTTTTGTCGTTTTTGACAAAAAACCCTTATAAAACTCAGCAAGCACTCTCGTTACTCTCCTCCCCACGTACTAATTCTATGGCAAATGGAACATCTAGAACTAGTAAATCTGCGATGTTTTTTGGGATAAAACGGTTTTGGTTTAAAGCATGTGCTGCTCCACATTCATCATCTTTTGTTGAATGCGGAATGAAAACGACTGAACCGGCACATATTTTGGGGCTACTTTAGTTCTAAACTGTATGTAAATAGGGATTGAATTCGTGTATCATAGTTTTAAGTGCAAGAGCAAAATTAAATTTCGTGTAAATAGTGTAAGCAAGGTATTAGCCGGTGGAAAATATTAATCACGGGTCGCAATTTGTTTTTGTCCGACTGAAATATTGGATTAGAGATGTTTAATTATTCAAGCAACATTTGTTTATTAATCTAGGCTTTAGACTATTAATTATTGTAGAACACTTGAGAATGGTTCTAAGTTTGAATTCGGGGTATTCCCGGCCCTGTCCGCTTAGCTCTTCTATCTTCATTTAAATGTCTACTGTTTAATCATTACCTGCCTACATCCTATTCCTAACTTGCGTACTGCCTTGCGATTCTGTAACTCACTTTTCGAACTCACACAGCGGTTTTCACAGCTACGGTCGCGCTCAAATCAGTCGTAAAGCAGTCATTTTACGATTTGGCATTCTTATAAACAACAAACTATAAGCTCCCTTATTAGAATGCCAAATCATAAAATGAGTTACAGAATCGCAAGGCTGATCTGAAATTATCGTGATTCATTTGCCCTTTTCTTTTTAATGTGCCCTTTTTATTATTGTCTCTTTCACTTTATTCCATTAGTTTTGTCTAAGTTACTTTATGTTTTGTGTAATTTTTTCTCACAGAGGTCATCTGGATATATATTTTATTATTTTAATTGTACTATATTTCTGTATTACTAAGGGTTAATAAATAAATATTCTTGTTTCAAATTTTGACTTAGATCGTACGAGTTTTCCGATATGGACTTTCGATGTTATTACTTAATTTATTATTATGACTATTTAGTTTACATGTCACGTCGAGCATGGTATAATGGTTGCAGCTCCATACAAACATTTTGTAAATCTAATAAATTGGCAATTAAAATTCGTTCTTCTCGACCGTACGCCCTGGATTGGAAAACTAGCAGTAAATTAAATTTAGAAGCATATTAGGAATTACTAGAATATTGTGTTACGTATTTGAATATATTATATTTTGATGTTATTAATCTACTCGTATATGTAGTATGTTGAAAGAAAAATAAAATTAACTTAATTTCAATTAAACATATAAATTCACGTTTATATTAATTAATGAGGTTTATGTAATTTATTAAACATTTACCGTGCCTTATGTGTATAACAAAGGTTTGTGTGTTATTTGTTAGTTTTTATTTATTATTCATTGTTCGCCTATGTCTTGGTTATGTGTGTTTTTAACTGGACATAGTCAGTGCGAATGTATTAATGTCTTTGTGTTTTTTCTTACTTGTAGCCTAAGTAAAGATTAGAACCGTGAGTTCTACCTACATTGTATTTAAATTATGCGATTAGACCAAGTTTTTACTCCATAAAATACACATTCAATCAAGTCTGTTTCCATCAAAATATGGAGTAATATATAACAGTTATATATCCTCGACTCTCGCGATATGACAAAAGGGACCGGATTTTTGGGCATAAATTTATTGAAAATGGTTATCGCCCTGCGGTAAATTATTTTATAGACTTGATCTATGGATGGTTATGCCTTTATTTAGATATTAAGCTATGAATAAACGTTACGTATGAATTTATCTATTGATAAAATGTTTTTTAATATATGAAATGTGAAAATGTTATCTGTGGAGGTTTTTCACTGTAAGATTACATGCTAAGCGTCTCTGAACCCTGAGTTCGTGCGTTCGAACACTGACTGAGCATCAATAGATTTTCCTGTGTGTGCCACTTTGCTAGTTAAGTTGTAGGATAGCATTTGTAGGAAACTGGAATGACTTGGACTAGTACAGTGTTTGTTACTTTGGTCAACATAATTGTATATCCAAATACGATCTAAATACATAATAATATTCACTTTATCTACTGTTTACAAATATATTGACTTAAATTATAAACCCAGACTTTTATTTTTTAACTTATTTATTCAAGTTTACTACATAATATTATAGCTACGGTATATATTACAAACAAAATAAAAATACATTTAAAATATTTACAAGATAAAATAAAATACCATAATTTTTTTTTAACCAAAAAGAACTACCAGCAAAACAACGGATTCGGTGCTTTCTTTAAAATCGATCAGTCGAATACCGAATATATCCAGCTCCGGATAAGTACTGTTTAATCCGTTATAATTCGCGATTAAAATCCGCGAAGAATTCGAAAGAGGTGCCTGACCTCCTTGGTTGGTTTTTTACAGAAGGAATTGGAAATATTTTGCTGATTTTAGCTTAGAATGTTAATTTTATAGATTAAATGAGAAATGCATGATGTATTCGAAATGTCACTAGTATCAAGGTTTCGCACAACTTACGCTAAATTTATAATTTCGTTTGTTAATAATTGAATGAACAAATAACTTATGCGTAGAATTGCAAGGAAATAATGACATCAAAGTTAAATAAAAAATAGATTTCTAGGGATTTTTTGTATTTATGAACGTAAAAAAGTAAATAAATATATATTTACTTTAGATTTAATGTCAGTTCTCAAATCAAGAGTTTACGAACGAGAAGAACTGGTTAGAAACACTATTTTATTTTACGAGATACTACTGTAGCTGCAACCATTCCGTCATGCTCGACATAATAACAATTATTTTATTTACTCTAAAATTTACAATGGATCATTTATCTTAAATTAATGCTGTTAATACTTTTAATAATTTTATTAGACTAAATGAAAACTTGGGGAAGTGCCTCCGCCTCCCAATTGTTTATTTTGCGTTTGGGGGAGCCTTTCTCTGCCGGCCACATCCACCAGTTCATCCTACCTTCGCCGTGGTCTGCGCTTCTACCAAACCGGTTGGGGCCCGTGCCAGCGTAGCGTTCGTAGCGTCCATCGTTGGTCTGGGTGTCTGACTCAGTGACTTGCCCACCTACCATTAAATTGTAGTCTTTGTTAGTCCGTCAGTCTGTGTTGTTCCTAATAATTTTTGTTAAATTTCTCCTTAATGTGATTTTACTTAGCCTACCTGTTTAGTACATTTTGCTATGCTACCCCAGAGACTGTTCAGTTTTCTGGAATGAAAACTTTTTAGGTTTCCCTGTGATTTTTCTCAATATAAACCTCAGAGTTCAAGTCTCAAGTTTTAATTAACAAATAAAAATAGGGATTGATCGTAGAGAGGTGAAAATTAAGGGTTGTATGACTGCTGTATCATAAAAAAATAAAAACAAAAAAAAATATCTAAAAAATAAAAATTTAGGGGTGGACCACCCTTAACATTTAGGGGTTTGAATGATAGATAGTAGCCGATTCTCAGACTTACTGAATATGCATTAATTTTTTTTTTCATTTTTCATGGAAACGAACATTGTGACACGATAATTTTATATATTAGAAGATTTTGTCTTTCTTTAAAATTTTTGGAAGACTTATTTTTATGAAACCGTTAACTTTATTTTGCTTCTAACTTTGTTGGTTTGACATCCGTATAAGAAACACGCTTAGTTCGACATGACTTGGAAGAAATCGTAATATAAAACACACGCTGGTACCGGATAAATTGCCAATAAAGGAGCTCGCATTATAGCAAACAAAGAATTAACAAGTGTTAATTCCTTTTTCACACGAACAAAGAAAACTTTATTTGTCGCTGTGATATATAGGATATGAAAACATTTATTATGTGTTCTTAGGAACGTCCTTTATGTCGTATGTTACGTGTGATTTCTACTGTCTCTCAACAGTTGTTACTTGGAGAGTGGACGTTTTAAAATGTTTTACTTGGTCTATTCTTGCGAACATAAACTCTTTTGCAATAAAAACGGGCATCTAAGTAAATTTACGTTCATGAAAATGAAAATTAATTGTCTGCATTGTATACTTACAATCGTGTAAATAATCACGCGTCAAGTGAATTCTGGCAATTTTTTTATTAACGTTTGATGAATCCTTTAAAACCGATGTACACGGCCGAACCTTAGGAAGTGGTCGGCATAAAGAAGTTTTTTTTAAATTACATACAGTTACAAATGTAATAACCTAATGAAGAGTATGACATCTCAGTCGATTTGTCGGCGTGACCGAAATTGGTTAGGTAATTTGTCCACGCGCAGGTGTCTATCCCTTATGCGCGCGCATTATTTTAAGTATTACGATTAAAGAAGTTGTAATTTGTAAAAACCCAATATGGATTAATAAGTGATGTGATAATAGTGGTATTAGCTTAAACCTAGCTGTAGAATCACCAGTAACGTATAGGTACAAATAAATGTGAATGAATATTTCCTAACAACAAATAGAATTTACTTACACGTCACTAAGAGGTTATCGTTAACATGAAAAACCACTCGGAAACAGCCGCAGGTAAGTTTCTTACTAAAACTTTAAAATTCTATTTGTTCCAAAAGTGCATTTTATTCTATAGACGATTATGTTTTATTTAACAAGAACTCGTACGTCATAAAATATATATTCCATACACAAAATAATCGTCGTACATACAACATAAAGTAGTAGATCGACTCATTTGTTATGGAACGAAATTTGAACAATGGACAAAATTATTCGATATCGCCGACAGCTCTAGTTCAAAACTTGTCGAGCGCCGCGCGCCGTGCTTTGCACTATCCATCTAGGAATAAAACTATCTTTTGTGTAAAGATCATAAAATTATATGATGCTACGTATGGTTTTACATTAAGTTTAATAACGTGAGTTAACCCAATTTAATCAAACGTGAACCTATTGAATTTATTACAAAGATACACGACGCCGTTCAGAAGTGTTTCTAAGAATATAAGAAGTGAACACGAGTATGTAAGCGCGGCTCCTACTTCAACAGTGGCGAAGAGTTTATTGCCAGTTCTTCTCTTCCGTTCTAAGCCCATGATTTGAGAACTGGCACTAAATATAAAATTAATTTAATGTATATTACTTTTTTGATGTTCATAACTGTACATTGTGTTACCTATATGAATAAATGATTTTTGACTTTGAGTTTGAAATAATGGTATCCTATTAAACCTAATTTGTTACATCCCGGTTGTAGGTATTTTTTCAATCCTACCGAACTTGCACGACAATGAGCGGTATTGCCGTTTTTTAATCTATGTCTAAAATGAATCAGCAATGTTCTTAAATTTATCTATAATATTTTTCTCAATTTCTTTGTATGAGAAAATAGGGTTTTTACTTAATTACATTTTTTTTTTTTTTTTACATTATCCTTATACCATTATGAAAGTATGCATTTTTCTACGTTGTATAATTGTATATATAATAACCCCAATGGACAGTCTTTATCATATAGTAACGTTACACTTTTCGGGGCAGTAGTAGGTTGTATGCAGAAAAGTCGGCATTACAAACTAGTATTTGTATTGAAAATGTTTCGAAAGAATTCAATACAGTCCACTCAAGTTGTTTACATATTTGCGTTGCTACAAATGCGATGAAACATACATTGGTAATCGATCACACGAGTGCAAGACCCAAGCACTTCGCTCTACGTGCCTGGGAATACTGAGATGTAATTTCTATGAAATCTTTCGATATTCAGTATCAAAATACTGGAAAATCTATTGAAAATTCCGAAAACATATTTTTAGATTTAGATACGGTTTGCTAATCATCTATACCTTCATTTTTATTGTAACAGATATTTCTTCACGGACATTAGGACTTATCACTTAAACTATACGCGTTTTTAGTAAACGATTGTCTTAATTACTCATTTATTTTTGAAGTGAAACTTCTTTATAGGGTAAAATTTTTACGGATGAAACGCAATAATAATAATATTAGCGTTACGAAGATGTGCAGCGTTTTTGTCGAAAAAAAGGGAGAGAGCGATTGAGACCGATTGGAAGAGAGTGAGAAGGGAGAATTACCTTTCTCACTCTCTCAATTCTATTTTTAAAATTTCGTAAAGAGAATTTGTGAAATATTAGTATTTTATATTTTATGCAAAATAATTTATTGAAATCTCAATGACGAATTGTAAATTAAAATGCCACGTGTTTTTATTATAAAAGAAATAAATTTAAAAAATAAAATTTATAATTTGTATTGATTTTCGACTCTAAATATTTTAGTAACAGTTAAATTCCTAACATATCTTCCTTTTTCCCTCCCTCGAAGTCTCGGAAATCTAAACTTTTAGATTTATATAAATATGAACAAGTCTTAAAAATTAGTTTACCAAAGAAGTTTAACTTCTGTGTACTTTGTACGCACGCACTTTTTTTTTATTCAACCATCTACAGATGGCTTTTTTAAAAGCGCCGTAGCAACACGATCTCATAGAAATATATATAGTGTTAAGGATTTGATGTTTCTCTGATATTTTTTTGATATTTATTGTAATATAAGTTTGATACTCTTTGATTAAGAATAAAGTAGCATCAATTGTGTATTCTGTGTGGTACTGGCGTCAATTCGTACGTGTTAGATAATTTTCGTACATGGTTCCGATTAAAGTTTACAACTAAAATAAGGCGTATTAATATTTTCTTATAGCCAATTTCAAATATACGCTAGCATAAAATGATCTCAAAGTAAAAAGCAGCAATTGGCGTACGGAGTGCACAACTGACTGGCCACAATATCCGGTCGGATAAAACGAAAAATCTATTCCATTCGTTCGATTGTAGAACTATGCGGATAGTATTTTTGCTTGTTTTTACGATTGTAAGCTGAAAACCGTGATCGACTTTTTGAGTCACTAAACAAAATGTTAAAAAGATTTTTGATTATTCTGTTAGAAACATTTCTAGCCTTGTACCTACCCGCCTCTTTGCTTTTTTTGATATTGGCAAAGAAATTGATGACATAAGGAAAGATTTAAGGAAATAATATATCATTAAATTTATGTTCAGCGCTTTCTCCAACCTATGGGTGAATTCTTCGAGCAGTCTTAACTCAGACAGATCTGAAAGCTTTTTTTGGAATGGAATCTCGCTATTGGCCTTGAAAGCTCAGTTGGGAACTGGGAAGCTCGGTCGGAATGAACTGTGTCCCTCGATTAGGCGCAAGGCCGGCAAGGTGATCAATCGCCTGAAGGGCAGAACGGAACCTCACAGGAGTAAGCCATACCTCGATATCGGTAGCGGGAGTTTTCACAAAGAAATACAGCTTTTGAATAATTGCTTTTACTAATCAAACCTATTTCTCCGAAGCTCAGATCATATCTAATTTACTAGCGGCCTGTCCCATCTTCACATTGTCTATTTAATATTTTGTAAATAATTCAACCCGCCGTCTCCATGTCATGTCAGATTAACTTGGCGAAAGCCTGAGTAAGTGCATTTTCACTTGTGAACTTTTAAAATTGGTTAAGTTGAGATTAATCGTTACAAAAATACTACTAAACTTGCTGTTCTTAGTGGTGTTTTATGTACAATAAACAAACAAAATGTTATTCAAAAAATTAAAAAGGATTTTAATTTTTGATTTAGATTTTGTGAAAAGTACAAACTATAAAAAATAATCTAAATAGGTTGCATAACCCTTTGGAGGCTTTTAAAACGTATAATGCATTTGTACAACCCTTTTACAGAATAATAATTATTTGGTTCTAGGGTTGTTGCCCGTATACAGTCGTGCATGTTTAAGCACTTGGAACTATTAAGTATACAAGCTTCGCACGAAACTTTGTCTGTATAGAAGGGAAATGTAGGCACCGCAAGCGTGCCGCAAATATAAAGCATGCGTGATTAAACATAGACGTCTGTCGCTCCAAAACTGAGCGTTATTTAAGGCAGTCTTTGCCGCGTACCGTCACTATGTGGAACCAGTTGCCCACTGAAGTATTTCCGAACCAGTTCGAGTTAGGGTCCTTCAAGAAAAGAGCGTACCAATTGAAAGGCCGGCCACGCATTTGCAAGCATTCTGGGAATGTGAGTGTCTATGGGCGGTGGTATCACTTAACATCAGGTGA